TGTTACCAGAAACTAAAGGTGTTCCTCAGGGCTAAATCCTTGGACCAGTTTTATTCAATATCTATGTTAAATCACATCACCACTTCCATTGTGAACTGCACAATGCATCTGTATGCAGATGACACTGTTTTCTCGAGCTGTACATCGAGAAGCACACTGGCTTTTGTTTATTTATTATGCACTCATTGGAAAAAATGCCATTGTATGTCACACCATGCTGTCTGTAAATGACAGAAATGGTCAAACTCATTTTTGATCACAATCCACTGACATTTGATGCAAAAATTATTGTTTGTTTCAATCTTCCTGAGGAGAAGCAGTCAGGCGCTTATATTAATCCAAAATATATAAACATCTATCTTTTAAATAAGTGTGAAGAGGGAATTATCTAATCTTACCTGTGTGCTGAGTTTGTAGGTTGCTCTTTGTGTTGGTGTCCTCCACCTCTATTTTGGGCTTATGGCCTTTAATAGCATCTGCGCTCTCATAGATTTCAACCACCCTCTCAACAAGCTCTCCTCTATCCAGCTTATCATTGTGCTTTACACCATTAGGAACACTCTGAGACATCTCTAATCTATAAGACTCAATAAAGCACTGAATAAGTGTCCACCTGTTTGTGGTTACCACACCACTTTGGGTGGACTTTGATAGCATGGATTATCTACTGTGGTCAAATGAGGAAGTTATTATTGTGCTGCTGTCAAATAAAGAAGTCAGGAGTGTTTCACCTTTTTTGACAATACAACAGGAATTTAAACCTCACTGAATAGATGCTCAGTGGCAGTGATGAGTGATATTTTATTTAGTCTAAGCCTTTCCATTTCATCATTTCAGAGAATTCTCTACAGATGTGAATCACTTTAAATGCATGTAATGTTAATGATAGGATCTCTAACAGTGTGATTAGTGCAAGATCCATGGGTTGCTCCTGTAAAACCAGCTTCAGTGGCAATTTTAGGACTGTATACATGGGGTAGCCATTGGGTGGCCATAGCAACTTTAGGGGATCCAAATTAATAAACCCAAAAATACATGTAATTATCAAAAACGGCCCAGAAAACAAGACGAAGTCCTATTGCATCTGCTTCAAATACATCTCAAGTGTCATAATTGCTATACCTTCAACGATTCCGATTAACCTTTAGTCTAACAGTAGCTTTGTCTTCACTCACAACTAAAGTTTTAGTAACTTAAACAGTATAATGTTGTGACAAAAATGGCCAGGTGGTGTTCTAAAAATGTTGACTCTCAACAAAAACTCTCAACAATGGCTACTCCCATTCAACTCACCAACTGCCAAGGTGAGGCACAGTTGAACTTCAACAACCTCATTTACTATTGAAGTGCATTTGCCACTGTAGTGAACTTGGCTATTTTTAATTCTTGAAATGATCAAGACCTTTTGGGCAAAGTTAAAACTTTTGCTTAAGATACAAAGAGCCTCAGTTGGGGGGACTTACCTCAGAACATCTTCCCTCTCAACTGACCCAGTAGGTCTGGAGACATTTTGGACTTAACAAAAGTAAATTCTGGACACAAACTAAGTTTTATGACTTTTGGAAATTTTCACACACACACACACACACACACACACACACACACACATGTACTCCTCTTCCTGCAGAGGAAGGCATCTGGCTCAAGCATCAAGATGGAATACACCCCAGACCCTGAGACTACAATGCAAATGCCCCCTTTTGGACAAACAGTACATTCCTCAGCACTCGTAAAAATTTAATAGGTCTTTCCAGAGACTAAATCTTAAGAACCCAGCTTAATTTCTCTTGTTCTCTGGCAAATTCTTGGCATATGGCCTATAAAGACACATCAATATAATCAAACGCTAAATCAAATGACTCTCCTTTCTTAATTGAACTGTGGAGAGTAACTCTGTTAAAGTGTCAAAGTGTAAGGTGGTTAATATTTGGCATTTGATAGAAGAAGGAAGGAAAGATCATAGAAAACAGTACTTGCAATTCCAGTCAATGCTTTTTTTCCCCTTCACTTTACTTCCCACTTGCAAAAGTGTATCATACAAGAATGACATTTACAAAGAAAGAGTGAGAACCATGATACATTGAGCTATCAATTGCTAGGATGCTAGGAATCAGTAATGCTCAGGTTGAGCATGGAGTTAAGACATAAGATTCCACTAACAACTGACTAAGTATGAACACTGACTTGTGTGATCCAACCAACTGCAAAGGTGGACTGAGGACAGTGCTAAAGAAAAGACACCAATGAACCAAAAGCTAACCTGCCTAACCAGGTCTGATCCTGGGTGGAACTGATGAAACCACTACTGGGTATGTATAGGCACGCCCAAAATTGCCTGTCCACACATCACGCAGGAGGGAGAGAAGTGAGAGAGAGAGAAAACAAAAGAGGGAACAACAGTGAGACTACCATTTACTGGCTACATTTTCAAGTCCATCAAGTAGCACAGCATAACAATATTGCTGACACCATAAAAGTCTCAGGCACGCTAAATGGTCCCACTCACAATTCCTCTCAGGTATGTCCTTTTACTTGCCAAGACCTGGCCCTCAGCAGACCGTAGCAACTCGGGTTGTAGTTCTGGGGAGTAAAAAAGGGGAGAGAGAGAGAGCGAGAGACAGAGAGAGAGAGAGAGAGAGAGAGAGAGAGAGAGAGAAAGATAGAAAGAAAACAAAAACACTAAAAAAAAAACCTACATGCATCATAGACATAACATCTTCTTTTGAGTCTTGGTGTGCTTTTCTTCCTTTTAGAAGTACAGTTGTGTAAGTAAAGCTTGTAACTTCTATGACTATTCATGGAAAATGCCATAGTTCAAGCATAATAGAGGTTCTGCCATAGATAACATACTCAACATCTCTGTACTCCATACTGTGTAACTTCTTTTTCATTTAAGCATTGTTTAGAAATGTTATAGTGTTGATGAACACTAACTTTAGAACTATGTTGAACTATGTTCTTTTTTTAGTAAATCTCATTTCCTTTTCTTAGTATCATGTTCTTTTAGAAGTAGGATTGTTAGAGGTTTCAAGTAGCTTAATTTAACCATTGTGTGAAATTAGAGTACTTTGGATATAATAATCTGTAAGGTCAATAGTTTGCTTGTAATAGTTACCATTGAATCAGTAATAATGTTTACATATGAAACTGCATGCGTAATGTTCTTTTACTTAATGATACACAACCATCCTCAGAAGTCTTTGTACGTGAAGTTGTTTAATGTTTACATATTCATTAGAAACCTTTTCCCCACCCTAGATCCGCACACAAGAGGTCTCTATTATAAGCACAGACACAGATGGAGGGAGAGATGACACGTTACCATAAAGAAATGACAAAAAGAAGCTCTCTCTCTGTGCACTTTTAATCTGCAGATTTTAGATTTTAGTTTTATTTTGTTTCGTGTCTCAGTTCATCAAGTCTTTGTTCAGTTAATTTTTTTCACTCATTTAGAAACCTTGAAGAAGTGTTGGTAACTGCTAGAATCAGTGTTTGCATAGTCAAGCTGCGTTTGTTGTAAGTCTTGTTGATTCTTGTTGATTGGCCAACAATAGGTCGTTGCAAAATCTGCGAGCATAGTTTAAGAATTATGGACACAAGTAAACCAGTGCACTGCAATCCATTATGAAAGTTGGCTTCAGTGGCCCGTTGTTGAACTGCAGCCTGCCGTCACCAGCCAGCCACGGCAAAAGAACCAAAGAGATGCTGCCATTTTTGCGAGAGGCCAACATGAGCCAGCTGGTAGCCTGACTCGCCCAGCAAGGTCCGGTAAGAAGCGACGCTATCAGGGTTAACCACTTCCACAGCATCGCCTCATCAGGCCTGATCAACTTCAAGGCTGTAAGGCTTACACTATCACTTCTCCAGCTATATGGTTCAGTCCCGGCTGTGTTACTCTGTCCCCCCTTTCACCTAAATGTAGGTAAATTTAGGTTAGTCGTTACACAAGCATTGATATTCTATTCTGTGTACTGCTCAAACACCATAAAATAAATAGTTCCAAGTCTCAGCTAATTACAGTATGTATATCCAGTGAATCTCACATTGCTAGTTTCTCTGCATATCCATTAATCTAGTGCTTACATACCTTCATCAATAAATGACCCTTTATTAAAGTTATCACTTGTTTCATTGGGTGTACATAATTATCACAATCTGATCAATAGATCCCTGTCCACAGGAAAACCCTAACCCGAGATGAACCTAAAGTAGGTTGTTTTATAGTGCTAATGCTATTACTTTTCTCTAAGTCTTGTTCTACCACAATGTAAAAGAAAGGGGAGACAAAATGGAGAATCTATCAGACACCCTCATACAGAGACACATATACGTGTATATATTTTATTACAAATGTCATTTAACCAAAGTACTCTTTGTACATCTTTGTGAAAAATTAGAAAAATTAATCAAGGTTGCAATTTACCAACAACACATTCTATTAAAAACAATCCATATCAGTTATTCCAGAAAAAAAGGCAAATCTCACTCCCAGGCTCTACATATACTTAGCATGACGTGAATAGCAAGTAGCATGTTTGCTCACTCATAAGTGCGATGTGAGACATGGTAGTGTCTTCATCTCATTTAAATCTAATGGTAGTGATTTATGACAGGACACAATCCCATGAAAAAATAACACCTGAACTGCTCTGTTAGTAATTCTTCCAGTAAGAAACTGATGTACAATGTTTACAGCAGCCTCTTCATACTGAATCCAATTCCATGTTTTTGTGAATCCCCCTCCTGGAAGTAGGTTTAGCTTGTAATCCAAATCAGTGAAGAGTAATTTGACATGGTGAGATTCTATTTACATGTGCAAACTGATTTTGTAGCAGATATTTTTATTTTTTAATTCCATTTTTCAGTTTATAATGGACTTCACAAAGAATTCAGTTTACGTATGTGAAAATTACAACTTTCATTTCTTATGAGTAAAAACCGAATTTCTACCAGTCAAAATTGAATACTTAATTTACTATATACTAAATGTGCAAATAAAATTCATGATATTAAGAATATTTACTAAAAATTAAAACTGAATTGAAAAATAGAAAATAAGAGCTAAAACAGCTTGCCACAGTAAACAGAATTTCAGCATGTCAATTTAAATTTGAATTGTAATAAACATCACACAAACTTTTATTCATGTTAATAAAAACGGTTACTATCATAATGAACTGGAAGCTGAAATTCTAACCAGTGAGAAATTAAATCATACATGCTACAATATAATTCCTACAATTAAAATTTTTTTTTTTTTAAGTTTTTTATACTTTTTATAGTAAACAACATCTTCTGACAAAGATACTTTATTTCTTTACCAAAAAATTCTCTATTATTTAACAGCACCCCTTCCCTTCAAATTTGTAGCTCTTCTTCAGATAATTTAGATTTTCTTCATTTTGGCAGCCAACCAGAGCGCCACTTGTCAAGGGTCTTTAATATGTATGACCTCATTTACATTTGGATTCAGATTGGCTCCTGCCTATGTATAACCTGATTTACTTGTGGATTCTGATTGGCTCCTGCCTAGGTCACAGATTAAAAATACTGCAGCGTTAAAAACCACTAATCACCTCCATGGTGACTTTATGAATATCTCTTGTTTACCATGCTGCACATTCTGTAAAAAGTGGCTCGCCAAATCTACCTGTAAAAAGTTACCATATGAAGTAATAAACAAATTAACTACTTTTATTTAACCTAAATAAATACTTTGAATGAATGATTCTTTCAAATCAATGTAATTTTTTTTTTTAAGTTGAATAAAACTAGTTCAATTGCTTTTTACCACATTAAGTAATTTTTTAAGTAGTGCATGGCATAGCGCTGCTATCACCCCATTTTATGAATCTGGTCTAATTAATTGGTTTTACATAAAATATGTACAGTGTTCATGATGAAATGTATAGAATCTCAAGCAGATTCAGTTGAAAATTCTCTTCTCGCAGGCCCAAACAAACTGGTGATTACAGGGATAATCTCCCCAGTTCCAAACAGGATCATACCCTCCGCCAGTTGCAACACAGTCCTCATCTCCTACTTTACTGTTGGGTTCCCCACTTCTCCAGAATCTGAAAGAGGAAATCAGAGTGTCCGCTGTGTTTGGATATTGACTGGATATCCACTTCAGAGCATTAAGACTTAGCATCACCAGAGTACAGTTCAGTGATCTCTTACCCAGTGGTCAGTGCTGAGCCATCCACCCATCTCCACGTGCCCTCAGTGTCAGTGTCAGTCAGACCAATCCAACCTTTGCCCATACTCTTAACAATGAATTCCTGTCATTGTTCCAAAATGTGAAATTACAAAATTGCAATGCAATATAATTATATTAATCCAGTGCTCATCTTTGTGTCCATAGTTTTTACAGTCTGGCAGTAATAATTATAGGTTGAATGGTGTTCTGCAATTTAGTTCCTTCAGAAATAGTATTTCCATTCAAAGTGACCTGATGGTAATGATGTTTCAGTCGAGGCAATCTGTGATTTCACCGATTCTCTGCCTCAAAATATTTGATTATGTTCAGACAATGCTTAGTTTCTCACCGATTCTTCTCTGCTGCTTATGATCGCCAGGTCTGCTCCTCTCTCTCTGCAGAACTGTCTGCCCTCACTCCAGCTCTTACTCTCAGTAGAGATGTAATACATACTGGAGCGGAAATACCTCCATCCATCTTAAACAAAGGAAATCAATCAGTAAGTCATGACACTTACCATAGTCAATGCAGCAAGATATATCAAATTACTCTTGGGACTAAATATGTGAAAACATTCACCCAAATCTGAAAAGCTCTTTGAAAGATCTTCTCTTTCTCCACTGAACTTGAACCACAGCAGGCCAATGGCAGCCAGCAGGAGAACACAGAGCAGCCCCAGACACACTGCAGCCACTGTGGAACATCTGCCTCCTGTGTTGAAATGTATTTATGAGAATAATTTAGGGGGGAGGGGAGGAATGAAGAAAAGCACGGTTGCACCAAGTGAAACAATAAACTGTAAACAAATAAGGCCAGACAAAAGAAATACCATAGCAGCATCTTCAAACAAAAGAGTTTCTGAAAACTCAGAGTGAAAGAAGTCAACAGAGAAGAACACTAAGTGTTTTTTTTAATACTTACACCAGTAAAACAACTGGGAAACAACCCAGAGTTTAACAAAAACTCAAGACCCAAGAGAATACCATTTACCAGCTTATCAGAGAGACATGCAGGCTTGAGCATAAACTCAAGACTAAGCGGTGAGCTGTCGGGGAGCTTTCCTTAGATAGAGCGCGCACAGCTGCACCTGATCAGCCTCAATCAGCTCATCCCGGTTCTCTGACTCCTCCTAGTGGTTGAAGGTGGCCTAGCAGAAGGCCATGATGTTTCACTATATTATACACCAGTCAGGCATAACATTATGACCATCTCCTTGTTTCTACACTCATTTTTCATTTTATCAGCTCCTCTTACTTTATAGGTGCACTTTGTAGTTCTACAGTTACAGACTGTAGTCCATCTGTTTCTCTGCATACTTTGTTAACCCCCTTTCACCCTGTTCTTCAGTGGTCAGGACCCCCATGGACCCTCACAGAGTAGGTACTATTTGGGTGGATCATTCTCAGCACTGCAGTAACACTGACGTGGTGGTGGTGTGTGAGTGTGTGTTGTGTTGGTACAAGTGGATCAGACACAGCAGTGCTGCTGGAGTTTCTAAACACTGTGTCCACTCACTGTCAACTATTAGACACTTGTAGATGTAAAGTCAGAGATGATAGCTCATCTGCTGCTGCACAGTTTGCGTTGGTCATCCTCTGTTCCTTCATCAGTGGTCACAGGACGCTGCCCACAGGACGCTGTTGGCTGGATATTTTTGGCATCATAAATTCCTTAGGACTTTGAAAGAGACTAAACTTTAAAACTCTGCTTCATTTAAACTATGAAACCCCAGTCCTGATCAAATGCCTTTTTTTAATCAAACTGTGAAGAATACCTGTGTAACTGTTAAAATGTTGTGTGATCTAGGTTATTGTGTTGATCTTTGATCATTTGCAACTGTTTTCATTTCATTCATTTTATTATATTTTCTTTTCCTTTTATTTGGGAAACATGCAATCCATGTGTTTCATAATCACAGTTTAATCTTATATATAACTGCTTTCCTTGCAAGTCTTCTTGTAGTTGTATTAGAAGTAGGACTATAAAGTTTGTAGCTTGTGTGACAATGTATACTTTAATCACAGTTTCAGAGTTTCTGCCAACCTATCTACAGAAATATTGATGATAATGTACTCACTTATTTTACTCTGAGTTAGTATGTAACCATTCTTTTAAGCATAGAAATGGTAGTTATACCAGTACCTGTAACTTTGAAATTGTCTTTTAACAGTTTAATTCTTTTGTCTAAGCAATTCCTATTTCTTATATGACTAGAATGGTTAAGGATTCAACTAATTGTATGTAACCATATTATGGTATACATTTAGATATAATAATCTGTAAGCTTCATAGTTATTTGTAATAGTCACTATGGAAACAGTAATGTTTTATATATGAAATTGCATGCTTCTAAGTTTCTTTTATTTAAGTGTAAACACACCCAGAATCTCCAAAGGATTATGTGACACTGGAGCAGCATTCAAAAAAATGTCATATTTATTATATGCAACCTAATAAACCAACCAAAACCTTTTCCCCACCTTAGGTCCACCTCTCAAAGTTCTTTCCTTAAAGCCAGCAAAGAAGAGAAGAAGACAATCAGCCAGGCCAGAAGGACAGAGTTGGTCCTGAAGGGAACCAGACAACCAGCCAACATGTAACCTTAAAGTAAACTTTACCTTAAAGTAAACTTAAAGTTCACAAGTAAAGAAGCCCACTCTCCTCTTTTTGCACTTTAGCCAAGTTCTGCATATCTTAATGTTAGCTGTTTGTCTTATGTCTTAGTTCATTTTGTTTCATTTACTCAGTAATCCTAAAGTGTTGTAACTGTAAGGTTAGACTATTGAAAGCTGCATCTAGCTGTGTTTGTTTTTCAAGTTTCGTTAATTCATTTTGAAAGTCTAATTGGCAACGACAGGCCGCTACAAACCTAGTTTAAGAACAGAAACAGAAGCAAAACAGTGCTGACTGAAATCCACATCAAGAGCCTGATCCAACCACTGCCTGCCTCCATCGCCAAGCAGAAGACCTGCGTTCCTCACCGGAGAGGCCGCCACACATCGTGGGAAGCCTGCCTTGCCAGTGTGGTCTGGTCCAATGGATCGACCAAGGGCTTGCACCTTCAGCAGCCTCGCCCTTTGACCTGCAGACCCTTCCCAGCTCATGTGAGCAGCGGCTTCTCTTCCTCAACGCGGCACACACATCACCACGGCTCTGAGGCATCCAGGTCGCAGAAACACCCACACGGCTACTTCTTGTGATTCAGTCACTGTGATTTTGCTGTTCCTTGAATCAAACTTAGGCCAGTTTTACGCTAGTGTTAGTATTGTTTTGCTCAAAGGCCACATAATTTAGAGAATCAGCAAATTTCTTTCTTTTCATAACTAGCAATCCAATATTTAGTGCATATATACCTTTGTAATCCATTATTTTGTGCCTCTATCAATAAATAACCCTTTATTAAAGTCATCTCTGTTATGGTGTGCATATGAAAAACAATTCGATTCTTTTCCCTGGACCATGGACAAGTCCTCATTTGAATCTAATTAAAATATCCGTGTCTTATGGTAAGTGGGAAAGCTACAGTCTAGCTACACTGGTAAGTGTTCAAAGCTTTGAAATAAGCAGAAAATGCTGATTTTTAGATCAAATTACTGGAGATCAGATTTGCTGCAGTACAGTTGTAAGTGAATTGCACTGAATATTAGAAAATGATACTTAATTCATTTTTTTGCGTTCTCATTTTAGCACACTGAAAAATGAAGGCCAAAAATGGAAATTACTTAATACTAGTGGAGTACAATTATGCTGTTACTTGAAACAAGTTGGCTTATCTTAAAATAGTCAGGCCTAAACCCATATTTAATTTAAAACTAGTCCTTAATCTCAGGGCAGACAACCTAAAACAGGAAAACCTGATTTTAATGAAACCACAACCAGGACTGCAAATGAAATTTCCTCCATCATTTACTGAAACTGATAGTGCATGCTTTCTTTTTTAAATTTGCCTTATATGTGATTCTTACATCAAGCAATTGAACTTGAGCTTGTGTTGCTGAATCTTGAAACACAGGTACAAATTGATATTATAGCTAATGTAACTTGTTTTACCAGTAAATTACTAATTTTAAGATTTCCTGACTAATTGAGGCACAAAAGACAAATTCATGATCAATGTAAGAATACATCATTAATTAAAAGATACAAAACTAGTAAATAACCTTTAAAGATTATTAATCTCATATTTCCACAATCAAGATATTAAATATTGGCAAGCGCAGAACAATTTGCAGTGTAGACAGGCTAGGAAAACAGCTATTTCAGGAAACTGGACAAACACAGGGAAGGAGACAAAGCCAGGCCAAAGTCAGGAGATGAAACCAGGTTCAGAGTCTGGAGCAAGAACTGAAGCAGGACCATGGTCAGGTATAAAGGCTACATCAAGTGCAAGCAAGCAAGAGCTTAGCTGGGGCTACCATGACACCTAGTCATGTTATTTAGCTAGTACACTTGGAATATATTATAAATATACTACTACATGTACTGATACACTTTAGTACTACTCATTGAGTTATACAGCAAAAAAGTGCACTGATTAGATTTTTATCTCTCTAAAAACTTAACTACATAAAACAATAAAGCTGTACTTGTATGAAGCATAATTAACACATAATTACTAATGCACTTGAATATATAATTAAGAATAACTAAACACAACCTTTATGCTTAAATTATATTTGTGTTACAACACATCATCTATGCCTACAAGCGCATTTATGTTCTAAATTTTAACAACTTAATTTAACTTCATTGCAATATATCACTGCTGTGATATATTGTCGTTTTTTCAGTTTTTGACATAATTTGAAACAGCTGTTCCCTTTTACATTCTGTGTAAATTTCATGATGAAAGGACCAAAAGAAATGGCCGAAAATTGCTTGGAAAAAAGTCTGGTGACATGGACTTACATTAAAAGTAAAGTATGTTTTTTTTCCTTCTCCTGTAAAGTTGCCTTCTTGGAGATACAAAGTTTTGTTCTGAAAATAGTGATACATTACATGTATGTTGCTTTAAAATGCATTTAAGATGGTGAACATTATATATATACACTTGTTGTTGTTGTTATTATTATTATTATTATTAAACATATGCTCACAATTAAATATATAAAAGTATGCTTTAGTATGTTAAGATATGCCTTCATTCAAGAGTAATTCTTTACAGCATATTAAAGAATAATTTAAATTGTGTTTCTTTAAAAATAACAATTTTCCAAAAATATAGAAAAGCATATTTTAGATGTATTTCCATAAAATACATGAAGTTAAGAAACGTACTTTGAGTAATTTTCTATATACTTCAACTTCAAATATACTACTGATGTGCTTAAGTGTGCTTCTTTTTGCTACAATAATCCCAATTTCTAGGATCACAATAGTGTCCATTTTTTTCTGGGTCTTGTGTTTTGTGTGCGTCAGCATGTATGTATTTACCTCTTCTTGAAGAGCCTTGGTTGGTTTCCCAGTTGTTGGAAGAATTCTTCTTTCTTTGCATACGTTCACTTCTGTGGAACTGTTCTGGATTAACATATCCAACCTCATTCATCTCAATTTTCATTTCTTTCATTGTTCAAATCTGACAATGAGGTGTGTTTTGTTGGACAGCTTTACAGCACACTTGCCTAATCAACAGTATTATAGCCTAAATACAGAAGTTACTTACAAAGGGAAGCCTGCACTTCTTCTTTATATGGTGTGTTCTTTTTGGCTGTACAGGGCTGCAGGGCCTTATTTTTAGACCGGGAATTACATGATGCATTTCCCGTTGACCACCTACTTGGATATGTCCTCATCCTCTATAAAAAGCTTTTTTCATTCTTGTCTTCTCTGTATCGCCTTGGTTTTTTTGCTGTTCTTGCTGCTGCTGTCCATCTTCACATGATTCACATATGAAAAGTGCTACACAGTAAAGTGAAAAATGTATGTAATTACAGTAATGTAAAAAATAAATGTAGAGCACTGCCTGTTGTGTCAGCCAAACCATATTCACACCATTGTGCTGAAGTTCTTATGCTAATCTCTCGAGGCTGATGTTAGCTTTTTATTCAAATTTCCGCTCCACCTTAAATAAAGTAGCAGTTACATGCTGGCACCCATATGCTGACCGAGATACTCAATTTTTTCTAGAAAAACTAGCATGGTCCAGCATGCCTGGTCATCATCAAAACCAGCATATGTTACGTTTTAAATGCTTGTATGCTGGCCAGCAGCAATAGAAGCTGATTAGCTGATCACCAACAAATGGTCATCCAGCATGACCATGCTGGGTCACCAGCTGAACCAGCACCAGGCCAGCACTGAACCAGCAAAACCCAATGTAACGGTTATTGCAATTTTAATCTGATTATGAATATGATTATTATTGCTTAAACTAAAGAGGAAGTCAGAGTAACTTGGATTTAGTTTAAAGTCTACAGACCAATGCAGGGAAGAGACAGACACTCGTGTCGAGGATGCTTCAATCAAAAGTAAACTTTATTGGCTAAATATGACACTACAGTTGGATAACTTGGTTAATAAACAAAAGAAAAGAAATAAACAAAACAAAGGAATGGCTCAGGTAATGTAGCTTATTTCACAGTGTAAAATGGTATGCAAACGTGGCTGAGGGCGCTCCTTGGGAAAGCGACTCGAAACTTAAGGACAAAGGATCTATAGGGCAACTTAACCTAAACTAACATATCTATTTGAATAGATTAGCGTCGAACCTTGACTGCACAAATGAAAGATACCCAGCCTTACTTTGAAGTCAGGAAACAGGACTACGGGTCCTCTGAGATGGGTCGCTTGAGGACTGGCTGGAGCTCACACGCTGGACTTTCCTTCACTGGCCCTGGAGTCTTGGTGAGACTTCGCACAGGCAACGCGCTGCAGTTGATGACCGGCTTCGGCGTCTCGCCTACCCGAGGACGAAGCTTGGAACCAGGGCAGTCTTCTGGCGAGGATTTGGTTTGCCGGTCGAGGCGCGGCTCTGGCTGGGCTTCAGAGTCTCTGGGCTTCTTCTTAGGGCTGCTTGAGGATGGAGCTTGCAGCGAGGTGGCCCTTCATGGTCAACCTGCCTGCAGATTGAGGTGGGGCTCGAAGGGAATCTTGGTTCTTGGCGTGACGGGCTACCTCGACTCACAGTCGGCTGGGGAAGTGCAGTCAAATTTCGAGGCTGCTACCCTGAATTAACTACCTATCTTCGTCAGAGCTGAAACTTGAAGAAATTCCTTACTTGGCCATGTAAAGAAATCTTCACTTTCCGAGATAGTCTTACAGGTAACCCTTTGGGTGTCTTTTCATGGCAGGAGATTTAACACAGTAAAAGCATCACTTCAAAAGAATAAAATCAAGTAAACGAGAAGAGTAAAATAGAAGGCTAGATATAATAAGTGAAAAGAAAACCTAGGTGCATGCTTATGACTACTTTTACTCTTAAGCATTAGTTTATCTTTGTTTAATCTAATCTGAGTGCCTCTGTTGATGTCAGTTGTTTTATTTTTATCATAACTCCACAATTCTGCCAGGGCAGCGGTTTGAACTATGCTTCACCACAGCTAAGAAGGTGTCCAGGCTGGCCGTTTGAGTGATGCTGCAGCTACAGAGCCTACCAGGACAAGGGGGACCTTGTCCCTTGGCTAATGAATCTTTCAGGGCTTCAAGGCTTCCCAGAACGACCACTTGAGCTACGCTTCACTACAGCTGCAAAACTGCCTGGGCTAGCTGCAAGAGCTATGCTACACAACAGTGATGAGACCTACCAGGCTAACAGGGACCTTTCCCTTGTGGCTTAGGACTGTTTCCAGGTTACAAGGGATCCCTGGCCTGCCCCTTGAGCTATGCTATACCGTAGCTATGAAGCTACCTGGGTTGGCTGCTGGAGCTATGCTCAATGCAGCTACAAGGTCTACCAGGTTGAGAGGGACCTTGAACTGCAGCTAACAACTCTTCAGGGGTTACAAGGATTCCCGGGATGGCCACTTGAGTTACTGTGGAAAAGCACAGGTGATGGTACTGGATGGAGCACTGACCAACAGGCTCTATTCCTGGGATGGGACTGAGCCTTACTGCTTGAAGAATGAAGGAGGCCATATAAAATACTTTATCATGCACACCAACAAGACGGCACTTGTGCAGTCTGAGGGCAAAGGATCAGGGGCACAAGCCCGCAGGGTCTATCAGTGCATGTGCCTGAAGCTTTCTGTAATCTGATTACTGTCTGTAATGGAATTCAGTAACCTTTTTTATATCCTGATAATACATTTAATTGTTTGCTGATGTCATAAAGTTAACATTACAAACAGTTAATAATTATGATTATTTAGAATTCATTCAAAGTTGAGAAGTTTTTAGGGTAAACAAATTAGGAGCCCTGACAAAGTACTGCTTTAAGCAACACAAATGAGCTTCCAGCACTGAGTGGCTAAAAAGAAAATCCTCAGGAGAACGGCTGCCTATAACTTTGTGCAATCTCATAAAGAGACAGCAGCACTGACATTTTAAAGCGATATGCCACAAGAGGCCATGTGTTACAGTGATTGTACCGTAGTGAAAATGTGATGCTACATACACAAACCCCATGGGTTTAAATTCCCTACTTGTGGTGAAATCACTAACGCATCGCCTTGAGTGACTTATTTCTTTTATAAAATTCCAACAAACAGTAAAATATACAATATAACCTAATACTATATTGTAATGGAAATTATATTTGAACATGGTTGAACCAATCATGTAAAGGAGCTTTGGTGGGTCTGTGATCTCATCAGTGCTAAAGAGGACCAGAAAGAGAACTTCCATTATAAAAAAGTAGCTGGTTCCCTTTCAGGTTCAGTTTAACAGAACTGAGTTTGATACATTTAAAAATAACTAAATGAGAAAATCCCCTTGAACTCCCTTCTTCCTCAATTAAGCTTCCGTCACAGACTCCTGAATTGCTTAACTCAGCATAAATAAGGCACCATGTGGTTTCTTAATACTGGTACTACACTACCTCTGCGGGCCCTTTCGTTGAGTCTATAGGCTGGGTAGGTGGGCTGGTTGCTGGTCAGAGTGGTAGAATGTGCTATTCAGAGTGTTTGTTTACACTGCAGTGCAAATTAGGTTTGAGACTTAAATGTCCAGAATTTAAGCTACAAATCTAATTTGTATGATCAGGCTGTAGTTGCATTTACTCATATATCCACATTGGTGGGCACAGTGATGACATACCTGAGAACAGTGTACGAAATACCCCCGTGGTATTCAGGGGTTCCATGTTGGCTGCTAACTCACTTGCTATGTGGCACTGATGCTAACTTCAGTGGCAGCAAAATGTTTGGTTTAACAATTCATTCTTTTTTCTAGTGTAGTAATGCAGTCTTCCCACATTAACTAAGATCTTACACACTCCTCTTTTGTCTTTGGTTTGAGAAATGAGTAACAATTCACTCTTTCCACAAATCTTTTGGGAAATTGGCGAGCTTTCAGGGACCATTTTACAGAAACTTCTTATCTTTTTTGTCTTAAGAACTCACAGGTCAAGATAAGATTTTTTGCAAATTCATATTACAGAAGCAAATCTTATCTTAATAAAGGAATCTTATCTTACAGCATCTTAAGTTAGGAAATCTTAACCTCCCCAATTGAAATCCACATTCAATTGTCATGTCATATGCACACAGCTGAAAAGTAAACATGTAATCAAAATAATCAAGTTAGTTAGCCAGATAGCTAATGTTAGCTACTGTTACTGATGTAAAGAAGGTCAAAAAAAACTTTGTGATGTTTATCAGAGCATCGCCACTCCTCAGTTTCAGTTTCCCAAACACTTTAGCTGAGCGCGCTAACATTATTCCTCCTAATAAACAGACACACTCAGTCTCCTCATTATTCACCACCATCATTGTAAAATAATATCTGACAAGTTTATCAAAATGAACACACAAAGGTAATAAGAAGGGACGGTAGAGATCATGTTGCAGTGTTTGGGGAAAAAACAAACTGAAAAAAAACTTGAGTCAAAACGGCATTTTCAGTGTAGCTAAATGTGACGTCATTATGCTAGTTATACTGAACTGTACTGCCTGTCACTGCATAAAACGATGGAAACAGATGGTTAAAACAGACGTTAAGACTCCTCTGGGGTTGTCTTAAAGTTAGGATAGTGTTTAGGAATTTTTGTCTAGTTAGAATGTTTCTGAAATACTGTTTTGTTATCTGGAGATAATGGATAAGAACTTAAAACCTATTGTTCTGTAATAGCTTCTGTCCTATATTCAGTCCTAACTGAAGTTGTCATGGTGACTAAACAGATAAAATTTCAGAGTTAAGAAGTTTCTGCAATATGGTCCCAGATTTACAAAAATGTTGCAGCATATTTTAAAGTTTTTCAGTGGTATCCTGGGCACAGTTACAGTTGCTAGGCTATTAAGGGCCAACTGGCCCTTAAGAATACCAAAGACAGAAGCTTGCTGTTTTATGGGTGAAGCAGTTTAAATGATGACCTTTCTCCCAATTTGCATTTGAGTGTCTGTTTTTCCCTAAAAGACAACATAACATCATATGTTTATTTTTAGGGACCTGGCGACTCAGAACTTATAACGGCACCATGTGATTTCTGTGGGCTGTTCTGTTTCCACCTACATCAGTGATACAAGTGTTTCACATTGTACTACAAGT